GAGAGTTAAGACAGAAAAACAGACAGCTTCTCAGAATATTGAGGATTTGAGCTCTACAGGTTTCTAGAAAAACAGGTGTACACACACACACACACACACACACACACACACACACACACACACATACATACACACAGAAAGAGAGAGGTATATATAAATGAATGAATGAATACAGACAATGTCAGAAAGATTAAGTAACTGTGGTTGTAGGATGGAAACTTTAGTTATTGTAAAATATGTTGCAAAAATACATCACTGGCACAAACACAAGAGCCTTAGAGCATTATCTGTACTAAACATTCACGGAAATCGTTTTTCTGAGGTAACTTTCTGTCGTTTTCTTACCTTAAACACATCTCCATATGTCCCGCTGCCTATGCGGTGTATCAGCTCATAGTCATCGAGCGGATCCGTGTGCGATACTCCGATCGCGTCCATAGCAGCGCGGCATTTGACTCGTTTTCTCACGGTACTACATCAAGAGCTGATGATATCATCCAAGTGCCACGACTTCCTCAACATCCGCGTAACAAGTGCACTAGAGTGAACACGGCAGCGATGACACAAACGCATCTCTGACAGGGGCGTTCACGCAAGACGCGTTCGCAAGAGCGCAACAGGATGGCGCAAAACGCCAGGGTCTAGAGACGCGTTCTTTTTAAGTTCAATTTGTCAGGAAGTCGCAAAGTTTCCAAAAAAAAAAAAAAAAAAACCATCGGTAGACAATTATAAAATAGCGCAGACCTAACGCACACAATAACGCGTCCTGTATGACGTTACATTATCAGAGGGAGAGGTTAGATTAAGAAGTTTACATTAAATTAAATACGGATGACAAAAGGCTGTAATGAGATATAGTATGCCAACTGTGTTATATAAGACATAAAAAATATTTTGACCAAAAAAAAAAAAAAATTTTGAATGAGAAAAAAAATAATCTTAAATTTCCATTCTAAATCTTAAAACATGGACAACAAAAAATTAAGTGATATATGACATCAATATTATATAAGTTATAGTAGATATTGAATAATGTAACTTATCACAAATATAAAATACCAATCTTTTCCTTTAACTTTAACAATTATTTATTAAAATTATAAATATTTTTATTTTGCAATTTATTAAATAATATATAGGCTACTTGTTTGAGACTGTACAGTCAGTGTGCGAGTGCCATCTACAGGTTCTTCTGTGTCAGAACAATATAAACATTCTTGAGACATTACTGTGAGTGACTTGAGAACTTCCTATTTATACACACCTATTTATTCACCTTCCTATTTATATTTACAAGATATTTATCAAATTTGGCCTTGATAAGCCACATATGTGTGATGTCTGATTATATGCAATGATCCTGCATTAAGTATAAATGCAGAGTTTAAAACTCGACACTATTTTACTTGTCAACTTCTAGGCTATATGTTGAGAAAGCAAATGTACGAATATTTGGCTCATGAATTTTATTTACGTAGAACGTCAACATGATTAATTAATATTCATGATCTAGTCGAATCCCTAGAGATATAACTGGGGACCCTGCACTACTCATCTTGAAGACTCTGATCCGAATTCGGTCCTCGAACCTATTCACTCTCTCCTTAATTATTTATTTTCTAGATTAATTAATATTCATGATCTAGTCGAATCCCTAGAGATATAACCGGGGACCCTGCACTACTCATCTTGAAGACTCTGATCCGAATTCGGTCCTCGAACCTATTCACTCTCTCCTTAATTATTTATTTTCTCATTTCTACTGTATTTGTCAATTAAACTATTCATTACAGCCAAGCCTTCGCCATAGTAGAATTGCTGTTAGACAAGCGCCACCTAGCGGCTAATCTCCGTTTTTCCAAAATTGCGCATGCGCGGTGCACACTCAAACGGTGTGCGTAATGGCTGCCTGATGGAGTAAGTGAATTTAGATGCTCCGTCTCTTCTGCTTTTAATTTGACCATAACGAACGGATAACGTCGAGACGTCTGAGCTAAAAATGGTTTATACTCATCCAGAGACGCAGCCAAAGACGAAATCTAACAGCGTGAAGTGATTAACCAACGTGTAAGTCTATTTTATTATAATTATCGAAGCGTTTGTAAGGGAAGAACGGGCACAGTTCTGTAATGTTACTGTTAGCTGGGCATTTAAAAATAATTTAACTCTACGTATTTAACACATTTACCTCAAAAACATTATTTGTTAGTGTTTTAAGACCTATGAAGCGGTTAAATATAAACTTTACCTAATTATTAGCATTAAGACGATACCCTTTAGTCAGCACAAACTCCGAAAAGTCAATTATTATTGTTCTGGTTCACGTTTAAACCTGTGTTCTGTCGTCTTAACGATGTAATATTTGTGTCTGTATAAGGTTTATATTTTCAATATTTCACAGGCGTCCTGTTTTAAACTGTGACTGTTGATGTGTAGGGGTTACTAGAGTTCAAACACGTTTAACTCGACAGTCGTGACAATGTCTAGTCCACGTGAGTTTAAATATGAGAAATACACCACTATATTTTCGTCACAGCACAATTATTTGACTATATTGTTGACTAAAGTAGTATGGTTATGTAAGTGTAGTGTTTTTTTTTTTTCATCCGGTGGTAATAAGAGAAGTAGGTGTCGTTCTTCCACTTCCGAAAAGTACCTTGGTATTCCCATGGTTTCTTAAAGATAGGATAGGGTATTACTGTGGTTTTGGAGATGTATTATGATTTTGTTTGGAGATAATGTAATTCAAACATTTGTATTATTATTTGATATGTTTGCACATAAACATTTAAAATACAAGCGCATAATCAACACTCAACTAAAACTTAGTTGTTGTATATAAAAATGTACACTCAAGCCAGTTTGTATATAATTTTTTAAAATATGTATAATATGCATTATTATTATGCTTATTTTTTTAGTCAGTCAAATTTCAGGTTGAAACAAACTTACCTCATCTGAGTGTCTTGATTTAGTTCCTCAAAGACTACAAAACTGTGTGGTTTTAATAGGATCGCACTGTTGTTCTCTATTTTAAAATCAAGTTTGTCTCTCAGTTTAGGTCGAGGCCTGTTCGGTGCCCTGCTGGTCATGGCGATGAAGGCCCGTGTGGAGGCGGTTCTGAACGTGGGTCTGCGGATCCCCAGCATCATGCTGCTAGAGGTGCTGTACCGCTGGGACGTCAGCTCCTTCTTCCAGAAGATCCAGAGGAGCAGTCTCAACAATAACCCTCTCTTCCAGTACAAATATATTGCCCTCTACCTGCATTATGTTGGTAGGTCCAAACACAACAAGCAGCTACTCCCTGTCTATACAACAAGCTATGAATGACATTGAACTGGAAATGCTCTTCGAACGAACTCCTTAAAGTCTTAATTTTCTTAATCTTGGGCATTAATTATGGGGGAAAGCATGAATGATGGTGTGTTGTTAGTTTTTTCCTTTTATTTTCCTTTTTTTTTTTTTTTTTTTTTTTTAGAGTCTAATCTAGACCTGGGGTGGGCTTTTTTACTTGGACCAGTAAAATACCACCCATAATACCATAGCTGCAACACTTAAGTCGCACTATAAATAGGGGTGCTCCGATTGATCGAACTCTGGTCACTTTGCTTATTGGTTAGAAGGCCTCTTCTTGTCTAAGTGTAAGGTTCTTGGGTGCAACAAACTACAAAATGGACTAGGGGTGCTCCGATTGATCGGCTACCGATCACTATCGGCCAATAATCGCTTTGGGATGATTGATCGGCCGATCTCATAAACCGATCTCAAACTGATGACGCGTCTGCCATGAGAGATTTGGCATGACATGCAGCGGCTCAGTCTCTGTCTGGCGCGGGTGAAATAATTGTAATGCTGAAGGTGAGGTACAGTTCATATTTCATCATTAAATAAATTAAAGTAGCTAATTTGAAAACTTTCTGTGAGACATAATTCCACAAACAGCGTGAGTGAATCACAGCGCACGCTTTCTACAAAGAGCAGTTTCTGTTCTTTACACCATGACAATAACCATTCATTTAAAGTAGGGGTGCTCCGATTGATCGGCTACCGATCACTATCGGCCGATAATCGCTTTGGGATGATTGATCGGCCGATCTCATAAACCGATCTCAAACTGATGACGCGTGTCTCTGCCATGAGAGATTTGGCATGACATGCAGTGGCTCAGTCTCTGTCTGGCGCGGGTGAAATAATTGTAATGCTGAAGGTGAGGTACAGTTCATATTTCATCATTAAATAAATTAAAGTAGCTAATTTGAAAACTTTCTGTGAGACATAATTCCACAAACAGCGTGAGTGAATCACAGCGCACGCTTTCTCTTTCTCTCAAAATGCGCAAATGGCTTCAAATCAAATCGCGTCTGTCTAGAAGCGAGTTGCACACTGCACTGTTAACACAGGAATTGTCACTTGCACAATCGAGGCAGTGTCGCATCATCACTAAAGTTTATAAATTGCATTACATTTTAATTCTTGCCAGTGTTTAAACCATTCAGCGCTCGCGCACTCTTCTGGAGACGGTGTGCTCATGCACACACGCAGTGCACACACATAATGCCAGGTTCACATTACTTCGTTTGCAGTGCGTATGCGGTGCGTATATTTTTTCCACGCTCATGTTAACGGATTAAAACGTTCACTGCACACGGTTGCGGTTCGGCAGTGCGTTTCAGGAGCGTCTGCAGCAGTGCAGAGAAAGTCTATTTTTGCTGCGTGGCAAGCGCTGAATTTAAGTAACCGCACATTGTTTGCGGTAAATATGAACATGGATAAGGCAATAATAGATGGCACTCGTGGAGGTAGGAAAACAAAGTTCTTTATGAACCGCAGGATTGCTTATAATAAAGAATTAAATGCAAAAGAAAAGGCAGTAGAGCTGAATGTCAATGGTAAGTTTTAATTTAGAATGTTTGTGATAATGTAAGAAAAGTAGTTTAAAGGAGTCATATGATGCGATTTAAATTTTTCCTTTCTCTTTGGAGTGTTACAAGCTCTTGGTGCATAAAGAAGATCTGTAAAGTTGCAAAGACTAAAGTCTCAGATCAGTTGCAGACTTCTGTGTGAAAGCACATTGAGAGTACGTGCTGCTTCTGCACCGCTTGTGTACCGCACATGGACTGCATACGCACTGCAAACAGAGTGTGTGTGAACCTGGTGTAAAAGGCCGCCTCACATACTGTACAGCTCACAAAATCAGGCTTGCGCTGTGTGTAAGCTATTGTGCAACAATTGCACGATTGTAAAAACAAAAATTCAGTGCATGATCAAACATTTATACATAAATATATATTTTTGAAAAATGCCTAAAAAATGCCCCCCACCTCCACCCCTCAAATTAAAAAATCCCCTCTCACAAGAGTTACTTAAAAGGGGAATTCATTTTCAAAAATGAAATTCAGGCCCTGAATAAATGTTTAAAATTCCTGATTGGAGTCTTACTTTAAATAATTCTACATGATAAAAAGAAGGCTTTAAAAAGATCGGTGATCGTATTGAGCACCCCTAACTATTTATTCCATATTACTTTTTTTTTTTTTTGTATTTTGAGATGATTTCATGGTACTAATTAAAATTTATGCAATAATTAGGATCAATTTCTTCCCATTGGAAATAATATATATATTTTTTAATATTTTTATATTACTTTTCAATTAATGCAGTATTTCGTGTTAAAATAGTCAATGCCTTTAAAATCCAATTTTTTAAGCCAGATTAGTGCAATCTTGTAGGAGTAAAATAAGAAAAACATCTGCAATTCTATGGTTTAGCCCATGGATTCCTATATAGCTCTATATAAAAGGCCTATAAATTCTCTAATTGTTTTTAGAAATAAATACTTAATTTTATTAAGTTGTGGGTTTAGATATATATTTAGACATTCTCAAAGACAACTTTTTGTAAAGGTTTAGATTTTTTTTTGGTTTGAAATGTTGATTTGTAACGTCAGTTTTTGAATTATTATTACTACAGTCAAACCTGAACACATAAAGCATTTTGTTACACAAAACATAAAAATTCTATAAAAATGTAACCAAAATGAACAGGAATGTTTTATCAGAGTTTAATTCTTCTGGGTCTGATCTGATTTCAGTTTTCTGACTCGTTTTGGCTATATGGTTATAGCTATACCATTTCATTTGAGTGTGTATAATTGTGTGAGTGTGTGAGTGGATGTGTCTGTCTTGCACTCTTGATGTTTTAAATTGTAACTGCTTCCTTGCTGTCCACTTTTTTTTACTGCATTGTAGTTAAATTCTTGCTTTTATTTTACATATTTGCTGTGTTACAGTCACACCAGTTCATAGGTGTGTGTGTATAAGTGTGTTTGTATGCGTGTGTGAGTGGATGTGTTGGTTTTGCACTCTTGATGTTTTAGAGTTTCACCCCATCATTGGTGTGTACTTTTTTCTGCATTGTGGCAGATTTGTAGATTGTACACAATTCTCAGAATTTTTGTGTTTGTCGATTTCCCATTCATTTCCTATGGTCGGACATTTTTGAGCGAAGTCCACAATTGTGACACTTTTTTTACGAACACTTAGCCTGCTCGAATCATGCCCTCTATTTTTTTGTGTGTTCCCATTCCAAATGCCATAAAAGTCACCAAGTTTCATACCATTCCGATGAAGCTGTTAGTTTTCAAAATTTAAAACAGAATTTTTCGGTCAAAAGTGACTGAAGAGCACCAGAGGATTAAAGTATATCTTCATGTCTAGTTTTCAATTTGTGGTGGTCATGATGATGTTCCACATGCTATAACGTCTTTTGTGTGTGTGTGTGTGTGTGTGTGTGCGCGTGCGTGCGTGTGCGTGCTTGTTTTCTTAGCGGTCTAAGAAAACAAGACAGAATAAAGCATCTAGAGTCCAACTCTGCACTATGGGCTTCTCTCAGCTATCCTCATGAGATGCACCCTGGGTAGTGTTGTGAAACATCAGACTCTGCTTTCTAATTCTATCAATTTTAATCACAAAATTTAAACAATAAATACAAACAATAAATATGTAACACCTCAGTACAACCAGGAACACACAGTCCTCTTTACTACCAGTTACTGCATGAAATAAACATAAATGAACATCAGATTGTATGCTGAAAGAAATGGAACCACTTACTGAAATGTCTCGGGTCTCAGTCAGTGTTTCAACCACGGAAAGAAGTCAGTGAAAAAGCTTGTGAACAGTATGTCACGTAAGACATTCATTGTCCATGAACCCGATAGTTAGCTAGAAAAATTAACTGTAGAAAAAAAAAGAAAAGAAAAAAAAGAGTATTTTGCTAAACTGATACACTGTATTTATACATATACATACCCACAGGTTTGAATGAATCCATCATGAAAAAAGGATGATATCTGCTGTTTAAATGGTTAAATTTCAACCACACACTGAAGTAGAAACATAAGTGTTATAATCAGGGGTGCACATAAGTGGTGCGCATGTGCGACCATAATAAAAAATGCGCTGTGTAAATAAGTTCTGACAGCGCATTTGCGTACCGACATGGTTGACAGCTGTTAATGCACAATTATAATTTTAGATCGACAAACTGTAATACTGTATAAGATTTCTATTCAAACTGAATAGATAAATAAATATAGGCTACCCGCTGCCGTTTTCAAAGCACAGTGCAAAACTGTGACATTTCATTAACTGATGCGCTTCAGTCGGCAGTGCTAAACCCGGAAGTGCATATACTTACTTGCCGGCAGCCCGCCAAAATAAAAGCCTGATGATTTTACGTTTGAAAATTATAAATTCATCTTTAAAAAAAAAAGAAGTAAATATTAGCATTTTATTTTTAAGTTCACTATAAAATAGTTGTATTTGTATTTAATACTCCCTTTTTATTTTAAAATATAATAGTATTATCACACTTTATTATTTAATTATTTTATTTTAAAAAAACTAAATAAATAAAGTGCAACAATATTATCACTATGATTAATTTATTTTTTTATAGTTGTATTTAATGGGTTACACTATGTGCAGTGTGAGGACCAAACCAAATCTCCAGGTTGAACCAGAGAACCAGAAAAACATATGTGCACCCCTGGTTATAATACACATTTATTATAGTATGTTTTTTTTTATGCAATACTTTTTTTTTTTTTTTTTTTTAAATATAAATGCTGCTTTATGTACAATTTACAAATCACTTTAATATAGTAATGTACCAACTGACAGTTCATAGTTTACAGCATTAGTTGAGATAAGAGAGATTTCTTCTCAATACCTTGTACAGAAATCTGTATTCGATACCATTTTGGATACCACA